CTGCTCGTCCGCATCGCCCCGGGACCTGAGTTTCGCACTGGCTCGGGAGTGGTGGTGGTGGTGGTGGTGGGGGATGTCTGCGCTTCTGATCCTCTTCCCCAGCCGCCTCCTCAGGAATGGCCTCCGGCTCGGCATTTCTCGGGGAGCGCCTTCAGAGCGGCGAAAGGGAAGCGCTCCCTCCGCCCGCCGCGGGAGGGGGGTACCCCGGGCGGGAGCGGGGCTGCCGCCTCTGGAACCTTCTGCCCACCCCTCCCCTCTCCTTCTCTCCCTCCCCTCGCCCTTTCCCTCCCTGCCGAGCCTGCCTGTCGAGAAGCTGGTGGAGGTTTGCACAGCCGGCTTGAGTTTCTCGGAGAAAAGGGATAAATCTGCTGTGGAGTTTGGAACAGCTCAACTTCTGTGGCCTGCTGCTGCGTCCTCCTCCAGCATACTTGTGTCGATGTGGCAAGAGTCTCAAACGAGAGTTCAGTTTCTGCAAGAAACGCTGTTTTTAGTCAACTTAGAACAATACATATCTGTATTTGTATTTAGGCTCCTCAGCTCCTTGGTGCAGAAAATGAGACACTTGGGAATCTTTCGTGGTGTCAGCAATTCACTGTTCCTGCTATCTTTCATCCATCAGACCCCAAGCCTCCTGTGTTTGTATTTGGAGGATTAACTTCTGCACAGCTCTCTTAGACATCCTCCTTGTTGTGCTGGGTGTCAGTCTGCAATAGCATGATATCATTCCCACGACAAGAAAGAAAAAAAAACAAAACCCAACAGAACTCCACCCCCAAATTTCCAAAGAAAAGGAAAAAAGACTAGGACATTTCCTTCCCCCCGTGGAATGTGAATTTCTGCCCTTCCCCTGGGGATGTTTGTGTGCCTGGGCTACCAAAGCTGGACTTATTGCTAGCACCAGAGCAGCAGGTAACCAGGCACTGGTTGGAAGAGAAATGGCTTCTAAGTTTCAGGAGAACTTTTCTGTGCTTTGCCTTGACAACCAAAAGGATTTGTGCTGGCCTGGGAAGCGGACTTCATTTCTCGAGTGAAAATAGATAACTATTTGAGTTGATCCATCCATAGCTGGAGAAAGAGCACATTATGCATACCTGATCCATCACAGCTTGTAGGACTTAATGGAGAAGGTTCATCATGGCTCTGAGGGGTTTTGGCCCATTCACTTGAGGGGTTCTCTCTTGCTCTATTTGGTTGGCAGAGTGCTTGCCTTGTTGCTATGTATTTTCAGGGCTCCTTACAGCTGTGTGGTAGAGATATGAAAGATATGCTCATGTGATTCCCTGATGATTCCACTACCTGTAGCCAGGTTTCTCTGTGGGATGGTGCTCTTGAGAACTTGTTTGGTCACCAATGCTTGGTGCACAGTGCCAGGGATTCATTTGCTGGATAGTTTCCAGCCCCAAGTATGAGAAAGCATGTCCCAGGCTGTGAAAACTCTTGGTCCTGAGAGTTTCCTATTCTCAGGGATGGGACAAAAGGGATGGTGTGTGATGGCTGGGGAGATTTAAGAATGTTTGAGAGATGAGGATGATGTCTTCTCTAGACTTCCTACTGTATGCACTCCTAACTCCCTTATGTGCCACTTGCCTTCTGCATATCTAAGGCTCTGGGTGGATGCTCAAGATCCTGCTGAACCCATTTGTATGTAAAATGTTTTCTAATGTATCTGAGTCCCATTTGCAAGACTAACGGATCATTTGCAGGATCATACCTCGGCTCATGTTCTCCCATGCCTACTCATGCCTCCTACCTGTGCTCCTCAATCATTCCTCATCATTTTATCCTTCCCTTTTATCCTTCTAGCCATGGAGAATGCGTCTCTCCAAGCCGGCAGCCTCTCAGAGCAGGAGGAGGAAGAAGACACCCTGTGGGAGAAGATCGAGAGTGCGCGACACCAGCTGACCCGCTCCCTGAACCCCGCCAAGCTCACCCCGTACCTGCGCCAGTGCCGCGTCATAGACGAGCAGGATGAGGAGGAGGTGCTCAACTCGTGTCGATTCCCTTGCAAGAGCAACCAGACAGGTGGGACAAGACACAAACTTGCACTCAGATGGGCCTGGTTTGGGGGGGATAACCAGACAGAGTGGATGCTACACACACTGCACTGCTCCCTCAGCTTTGTTGTTCACCCCATTCTCTCTCCTCTAGCCATTCCCATTTTTGTGGCTGGAAGTAGAACTGATGGCGATGCTATTTTCATATCGTGAAGTGGGGCTATGCAGCGTTCTCTCTGTTTTGCAGGGAGTTCATCCTAGCTCTTTCTCTGTTCTTCCAGGTTACCTGATGGACATCCTTCGGCGCCGTGGGAAGCGAGGCTACGAAGCCTTCCTGGAATCCTTGGAGTTTTACTACCCCGAGCACTACACACGGCTCACGGGGAGGGAACCAGCCCAGCGCTGCTCTATGATCCTGGGTAGGAGCAGGTGCTCTGTTCTCCCTTCAGCTGCTGCTTGCATGGGAAGGGACAGAAAACTTTGTGCGAGTTCACGTGCGTAAAAACCTGGTTCATGCTGGCAGTGTGTGAGGAATCCTGACGGTTCTGTACTCTGGAACTGGCAGGGAGGGGGACACGTATACAGGTGTTACTGTAGTGCTATAAGCCTGGAACAACAAGGGCTGCAAACCCTCAGGAGATCTTGGCACCTCTTGGTGGAAAACAGAGCATTGGGAAAATCCATTTCTTGGGGTTACCCCTGTTTCAGCAGCCAGGAACAGGTTCTTCTTTGTCTCTCCCCAGATGAAGAAGGCCCTGAGGGGCTCACTCAGTTCCTGATGATGGAGGTGAAGAAGGTGAGGGCTCAACGGAAAGAGCACCTGCTGAAGGAACACCAGCTCCAGGTGAAAAACCAGGCTTTGGAGCAAGAACAGGTCAGGCTGGAGCAGCAGCTGAAGGAGCTCCTGAAGGTGCAGGAACGTTGCCAGCGGCTGAGAGAGGAGTGGGACTCCAACAGCGTGGAGCTGCTGAGGCTGAAGGATGAGAACTACATGATGGCCATGCGCTATGCGCAGCTCTGCGAGGAGAAGAACGTGGCCGTGCTGCGGAGCAGGGACCTGCAGCTGCTGGTAGGATCCTGGGGAGCATAAGGTGGGCAGCGGGATGTGGTGGGGGTCTGATGGCCGAGAGGGATGTCTGATGTCACTGATGTCTGCACGTGGTGGCTTGTGAGCACGGAGGAGCAGATGGCACACGGGATGTGTGTTGGGGATCCTGCCCCGCTCTTGATGGAAACATGTCCTGCAGAGAGGCTGAGACATGGGCACAGTGCAGGAGGCAGCTGGAGATACATCACCAGCTCCTGCCAGCTGATTTAGTTGGAGGTACATCACTAGAGGATCCAGAAGCAGGGCTGATTGCCTTCCCTGGCATCCCTTGATGCTCAGCCTGGCACCACGAGATGTCCTCTGTGCTTGCTGCCCTGTGCTGCCTGCACTGCTCTCTGGGCAGCATAGGCAGGGAGCAGGCAGCTCACTCTCTCAAGCTGTATTTACCTTTTCCCCTTCAAGGGTTTGTGTTTTCCTCTCCCTAGAGAGGCCAGTGGCTGTGTAGCCACCCACACTGGGTGTGTGTGTGTGCTGCCTGGAGCTGCCCAGCCAGCCTTGCTGAGCTTAGGAGCCTTTTGGCCCGGACTACAATCCCCCTGCCACTCCCCACCGCCTCCTCATGTCTCTCATGACGTTTGTAAGACTCATGCCCTGCATAGCTGCAGGAATTTGTGACACTGCACTCCAGCTGCCAAGCTCTCACCTCCTGCAAACATGCACCCATTTCCTGCCTGGGCAAGGAGAGCCCTACCTTGAACCTATTAATAACCCATATTTTTAAGTTCTCTGCCTTCTGACATTCCCCCTACCAGTCTGGGCCTGGCTCTCTCACACAGCCTTGCAATTACCTTTCATACCTCATTCTGTTCTGCCAGTGGTAGGATCTTCCCCTAGTTTTTTTCTGGTATTCCTGCCAATGCTAGCTCCTCTGGGCCTCTTTGGAGCAGGGAGGTGAATCACTTGTAGGTAACTGTGGGGTGAAGAAATCCCCCTGGAAGCAGCGTCTCAGCTTGTCTTCCCCTCCTGACTCCTGGGTCCAGAAGTATCTGGTTCCCAAAACTCATTGTAGGTCTTTTGGGTAGATTCACAGAAGTAATTCAGTTCCTGAATCCCTCCTTGGCAATTTTGGCAGTGCTTCTTGGTGGCTTTGATACCTTTGATACCTTTCTCCTTTCTCCTGTTCCATTTCCTCTCAAAGCCTTACTTTCCTGTGAAACTAGTTCTCCGATCAGTCTGATCACTTATTACAGTTCTAGCAGGACCTTTCTTATTCCTAAGTCTCTGACCTTTCCTGTCTCCTGTGACATGTTGGTGGAGGAGTGTGAGACCAGGCCAGGGAATGATGATGCCCCTGTAGAATGCATCAGCCTCCAGCAGCTTGAACCTCAAACACCTCCCAGGCCAGAGGTGGCCTCCCACACTGAGTAGCCTCCAGTGGATTTTTCTGCTGTGAATTTGTTTCTCAGCTGTCTAGGAGTTTGTCTAGAAGATACTCACAGCTGCTGGTCCTGGCAGTGCACCAGAGGTCCCAGGTCCACCCACGGTCAAGGCCGGCTGCATTGTGGATGCCCCAAGGTGGCAAGAAAGTTGTTGCACCAAAAGATGATCCTGAATTTGCTTATGCAAGTGCGTCTTCCTCCTTTCCCTGAGGGAGAAGCTTTTGTGTGCAGCTGTGCTGCTAACCTTGTCCCAGCAGTAGGATACTCCTTCACATGGTTCCCTGTGGTTGCCTCCTGTGACTTACTTGCCTCCAGACCTGTTTTCTTCTCAGCACCTTCTCTGCTTTGCTCTCCTAACAAGGCAGAGGTGCAGGGCCATGTGTGTCAGACTGTTTCTTCCCTGGGTTGCAGGTGGACCAGCTGAAATGCAAAGTCTCCAGCCTGGAGGAGGAGTGCAGCCTGCTGCGGAAACAGGCGTCAGCGCCGCCCCAGCGAGAGGCGGAGGAGCGGGGCCACCCTGACGCCGTGTCTGAGCTGTGGGCTGAGAACCAGCGGCTCACAGCATCGCTGCAGGAGCTGCAGGGCATGTTGCAGGTACCTGCCAGGGCAGGGCAGGCTCCAGGTCACCCCCTTTCCTGGGCCACCTTTCCAGTGCTGTTTACGTCGCCACTGGAAAGATGGGGAAATCATTGGTTTGGGCTGGCCTGTCCCATCCTCTGAGCATATTGCTTGGCTGTGGTGGCTGCCAGTGCGTCTGGGTACTGATGGGTGCTTTGTTACAGCTCTGTAATTCTTGGTTGTGCTCACAAGTGTGACTTTGTGCCGTGGAGTGCACAGCAGATTGATGCAGGGTGATGATGGCGTTTGTGCCAATCTGCCAGTCACTGCCCTGGTCTGTTGCTCCCTTGGTGCTTGTGGTGCAGTGACAGAACCCTCTTGCCTCTTAGAAACCCGGCGAGACCACAGTTCCAGGCTCTGAGCAGATCCTCCTGGACATCCTGGAGCATGACTGGAAGGAAGCCCAAGACGACCGGCAGGATCTCTGTCAGAAACTCAACTCCCTGCAGAATGAGCTGCAGTGGGCTGAAGAGCTGAGGGATAAGGTAGAGCACTCATCACTGCCTCTGTCCCTGCACACCAAGCAGGGCCTGGAAGAGAGGGGAGGGAGGGGGCTGTAAAGCAGTCGCTTTCAGGAGAGCTAATGCTCGTGGCTTGCTGTTACCAGTACCTCCAGGAGGTGGAAGATCTGCAGCTGAAGTACCGGACGCTGCAGAAGGACTGTGATCTCTACAAGCATCGTATGAACACAGTGCTGCTGCAGCTGGAGGAGATCGAAAAAGAGAGGGACCAGGTAAATTGCTTTTCACAGGGCTCTGGATACCCTCTCCTTCCCCAGTGGATCTTGTCCAGCCATGCCAGGGTGGGAGGTGTGGATCAGCAGTGCAGTTCTGTGTCTTTGCTCGCTCTCAGTCTGGCTCCTTGCAGGCCATCCAGAGCCGTGATGGGGTGCAGCTGCAGTACTCCCAGAGCCTGATTGAGAAGGACCACTACCGCAAACGCGTGCGGGCTCTGGAGGAGGAGAGGGATGAGCTCCTAAGCAAGCTGAGCCAGGCAGAAGGGCTGAACAGCACGCTGCAGGCACAGCTGCAGCGGTGCCAAGGCGGCCGCAGCCTCAGCAAGGTGAGGGTGGCTAGAAGGAAGGGGAAAGAGGGAAGACAAAGGGGTCAGGACTGATTTCTGGGGGATGCAAATGGGATGATGGAGTCCCTTCTCTCCCAGATGTGCAGCTCTTCCTACTCCCTCTGCTCCAACCTCAGCAGCACCTGGAGCCTCATAGACAACCCTACGAATGGACTCATGGATACTCTGGGGACTTCTGTTACCCCATTCCCAGGGGATTCAGCCATCCAGAGCATGGTGAGTGCTTGACCACGTGAGGCTGGCCCTCAGCTGAGGCCAGTGGAGGACACTGCTCAGGAAGGGCATGCAGGCATTGGAGTGGCTTCATCGTGGGGCTGTGACTTGGTGGATGACTGGTCGTGGGGTGGTGTGTAAGGCGTGAGCAGATCTCAGATGTAAAGCTCTCAGTCTCTAGCAAACTAGCCAGTGCTGCCAGTTTCACACAAAGTGTGTGAGAATCCTTCATCCCATATGACACCCTAGAAACCAACAGCCTTGTGTAAGATGCTATCCTTCCTAAAACACTGTTTAATCTACGCATGCTGGAGGAGAAATCCAGACTCTTTTAAACCCTGTAGCAGCATGATATTATTTTTAAGGGAGTCAGGTTTTTTCCTTTGACTCCTTGAATTGTCATCCCAGAGCACCCTGAAAAGTGCAGTCCCACAGGTTACTCACACCTCTGGGTGTGTAGTGGCTGAAACAGAAATATAAAGACAAGGATTGGATAGTCTCTTCATCTGCCACTGCTCCCACAGCTTGTATTTTGCAAAATGATGGTGATGCAGTGTCATGGATCTCTGTCTGAGCTATCTGCTCGGGAAAACGAGGTGCCCCTGGGAGTTTGGAGGGATGTGGATTATCCTAAAGAGGGTTGTGGTAGCCAAGGAGCTGTTTGCTCCCCTGGCCTGAAGGGAAGGGAGGAGTGGTGCTGGGTGTTGATGTTAGCAGTCATGTCTCTCACTCTGCCCAAGGATGGGACTCCCGACAGTGAGAAGGATATCAACCGCCTTTCCACCTTCCCCTTCCCTCCCTGCATCGGCTCCATCCTCCGTCGGCAGCGGGAAGAGAGGTGCATGCCCTACAAAAGGTGATTGCTGAGGCCTGCTTGTCTCCTCTCTGGGGTCTGTGGGATCCAGGGAGAGCTGCCTGGCAGGGTTAGGAGAGAACCTGGAGTGGGAACAGGGTGGAAAGGCTGGCTGTAAGCTGTGTGCTGGCTCCAGGGGTGCTTGGCGGTGGTGGGGAAGTCTGCAGAGCTGAGATTGAGAATGGGATGCAAACAGGCTTTGGAAAAGCTGCTGCCTTACAGATCCATTTTGTGTCTCCTTTGTAGCTTGTCCTGTGGCTCCTTTAGCAGCATTGAAGATGCAACAGGTACAAGGCTTTCCTCAGCGGGCTTAGCTAAAAAGAAGCGGGGGCTGTGGGGAGAGGGGTTGGACAGTGGACCCTCCCTCACACCTCTGGTTTGTGTAGCTCATTGTGAGGGCTCTGAACCTGCAGCGTGGTACTGTGGGCCCTCATGTGCCCCTGTGCCTTGTCAGGCACAGCAGCTGGAAAAGCTGGCTTTTCCTCTGCAGAGCAGGTAGCTATTTGCATCAGCTCTGTTTGACTCATGGAGAGCTGTTGGGGGGAGTAGGTAATAGAAGAGGGAATACCTTTGCTCTGGGGTGTTATTGGATACTCTCTTCATCTGCTACTACCTGTGTGATGGGTTGTAAGTCTCCTGGGGTGAAGCTCCTGGTGCTGGCAGGTCCTGTGGTGGGTGCTGGTGGCTGATCTCTGGGCACATCCAGGTGGCCCTCGCTGCTGCTGCCTTCTGACCGAAACGCTGATGAAGGGAATGAAGATTTGCTTGTTCTCAGGAAACACAGGAAACCCTTTTCTTGAGGGTGACCATTCAAAGCCTCCCAGCAGCCTCAGTTTCCCAGTCAGATGCTAGAAAATGGTCAGGAGAGGATGGCAGACCCTTGCCACCCCAGAACATGAACTCCCTGCAGCATTATAGTACAGGTAAAGTGCTCCCTCTCCCTTTTGCTCTTTTCTAGGCAGCAGTTTTCCTGGCACCTTGCTGGGGGCCTTCTCCTCTTCTTCCAGCAGCACCTACACCAGGGTGAAGTCGGAGATCTGCTTGTCCACGCTTTCCAGCCGCAAGGAGGTGACCAGGAGGTGACTGCTGCTCTCTGAGCTGGGCACTCTGTGGTGGTGCTTGAGGGGGCATTTTGTGGTGCCAGGGACCACACTTGGGAGACCCTGCCTTTCTGCCCCTCCCATTACAGGCCCTTTCTTGCTATTGGGAGGAAGATCCTATAGTCCTTGCTTCCTAGCAGGACTTCAATTTTTTGTGCTGTCCTATTGTTTATGGCAGGGGTGGAGATGTTGCTCTGGGCTGGGCATGCACCTGTGGGAGCCCAGCTTGACTTTGGTGACGGGGCTGGTGGGATAGAAGGGGTTCTGGGGGCTTTTTAAGTTCTGTGTGCCCTGGTGATGGGCACGCTGTGAGTCATGAGCTCTGTGCTGCAGTAAACACCCTGTAGCTGTACGCAAGGCATGGGGGACTAAGGTTTTCCCTTAGAAAAGGCAATAAACCTCAGTTTCCAGACTTGGCATTTGTCCTTTCCAGGTCACTGGTGGTACAGCTCACTAGTGTGGGTCATCCTAGCAAGCCCTCACCACAGGAGAAGAGGCTTGGAGCAGACATCTCCATCCTTGGGGGGAACAGGACAGGAATTTATGTCCAGTGGGTCAGGCCAGGCTCACGGGTTGAAAAAGCAGGACTCAGGGAAGGGTGCCGGCTCATTGAGGTGAGTCTGGGAATGGGCTCCTTTTGTGGGTTTGCAAAGCACCTGAGATGATGCAAGGAGTGTGGAGTGATCCCCAGTCCAAGGCGACCTCTACTCAGCTTGAAGTCCACCTCCATTTCTCTTATTTTCCAGGACTGCTCCCTGTCTAGAGCTTTACACAGCACAAACACCCAGCCAGGTCTCGTTGCACTTGAGTGTACCTGTGCATGTAAAAATGCCAAGACCTTCTGAAAGCCTTCCTTCAGCTGTGGGAAGGGAGAAACAAAAAGGAGCCACACAATTAAGATGCTAGTACGGCTTTGTGTCCCTCAAGCTGTCTGTCACCTTGTAGTTTTTCAGAGCAGTTTGCATCCTGCATCCTGCACATGCCCATTGCACACCAATCAATTCTGGAGAAGTTTTCTTAGGCCTCTGTGACCCTCCTGAGCTATAGAAATAATTGCTCTGAAGAAAGCTCCTGGAAGGAGAGAAGGGCATTTGTTTTGCCAAGAATGACATCACTTGAAATGCAGCTGCACTACTTGAATTAATATGGCACCTGTAGCTGAAAACAAACCAGTGCTCCTGCTCCCACACACGTTCACGCACACACCCATTTCCTTTCACAGCAGCCCACCATCCAGACGGTGGGTGATGGCTGGTAGCAGGTATTTCAGAGGCAGAGGAGGGCGCCAGAGTCAGACTGAGGATGCCTTGTCCTCAGATATAGCTCTTCCCAGACCTGCCTCTCTCTGTAACACCTTTTGTGTAACCCTGATGGGTGAGGGAGCCTGGGGGGTGCATGCTCTCCCAGCCATTAGATCTAACGGCATCGAGTCCTTGCTAGTTGAGGGTGCCATTGCTGAAGGAAGAGGTGCTTTCCCTGGAGAACTGCACGCGGGAGGTTGCCTACCTGAGCCTGCTGCACTGGGATGAGCCGTCCAGTCTCATCTTTCAGCTTGACCTAGAAGGTAAGGTGCTGGCAGCTGGGTCACCTTTGAACTTGAGCTCTCTGCCTCCCTTTCTAGAACCTCCACTCAAACCCGGAGATTAATCTCAGTTATTCTCTCTCCTCTCCTGTTTGGTCTTAGGCCACCATGTCAGACACAGGGGTTGGCTGTAGCTCCAGTAGCTTTCCCTCTCTGGTGTGACTTGTGCATCCTCTGAGTTATGGGACAGAGGTACAGACCTTCTGTCTGTTTGCCTCCTCTAACCCTAAGCCCAATCCAGAGCATCACAGCTGTGCTGGGGACTTGGCTTTCTTATTGGTGACTGTTGTCTACTGCGTCCCCACCTGTGCTGACCTGTGCTTTGTGCTCCAGGATACCGGCCTCTGCGGGCAGCCCTGGAAGAAGGCAAGAAGTTTTCTGGAGACTCGTTCTACGTCCGCTCCAACGTGTCCCTGCTGGAGCCGTTGGACCCTTACGCGCTGTGCGTGAAGTGCCGGGAGATCCTGCACGTCACCGACACCATGCACAAAGGGCGGCTGGAGTGGTACTGCTCCCGCGTCGATCCCCTGACCGTGCGGGACCTGGACAAGGGCACGGTGCCCAACTACAGCAGGTAACCAGGAGGGAGGCAGGCAGGGGGTACCTGCCCCGTATGGCTGTGCTGGCCATGTCCTAGCGGTCCTGGGGATGGGGACTGGCCTCTCGATGGTGTGGGATGAGTAAATCTGGGATGGGGACCAGTGTGGTGGTGTTTGGGAGCCCTTGAGGGACTGGGAGGTTGAGTGAGGACATTGATATGCCTGTGCTTCAGCAGGTCTGTGGGACTGGTGAAGAGGATCCCAGCAGGCTGTGGTCCCTGGGGCTTCTGGAGTTGTTTGAGTGCGAGCTCTCTGTCTTTTCAGGGCTCATCAGCTTTTGAAGATCCAGGAGAAGCGCCAGATGCCCGGGCAGCAGAGAGGCCCCAGAAATACTGTAAGCCAAAGAAATGGGTGATGAGAGCTGTGTGTATGCGTGCCCATGGCCGTCTCACCACCACAGAGACAATCTGCCCCACTCTGTTGGTAAACCAACTTGTGTAGAGGTGGCAGATGGGTTAGCAAGCAAAGCTTTTAGGCCAGGCAGTGTTACTCCTCTCTGGCTGCTTTTCTACCACTTCCCCACTTCCCAGACTGAACCTAACGGGTGGCAGACCTAATCCCTTGCTTTTTGTAAGGGTGCTCCATCCTTTTTGCCAGAGGGTGTTCTGCAGCTGGTTCTGCATGTGTGTGAAAAGGGCAGTGCTCCCAGTCTAATTGCCCTCACTCTCTCCTCAGCTAAAGAAACGGGCCTTGGGCCAGCTGCGCTTGGTGAAATCCAAACCACAGAGGAGCCCAGAACAGCCCCCACAGCAGCTGTGGCTGGACCCCTGCTCAGGTGAGCTGTTAGCCCTGTGCCTGCCCTGTCACCCTTGGAGACTCACTTGTCCCCTGATCATCCAACTTCTTGTGAAAAATAAACTGCTGTGTAAGTCAAGGGAGTCCCAGAAAACAGGCAAGGGGTCTACATCCAGCATATCTGTCCATGAGTGAGTGAGTGTTGTAACCAGGGTAGGGTCTCTCCTGGGACATAAGATGGTTTGGTAGGTGCCTCCATGATTCAGGATGAGGAGGTGGTACAGGACAATGGGATGGTCTGGTCTCCTGCGTTCTCACCTTTGCCTTTCCCTTCCTCAATGCTGTCTTCCAGACCCTGACACAAAGCTGAAGCCTTACAGCCTGGTGCGCCCTGTGGTGGTCAAGACGCCCCGTCCTGTGGTGCTGTCCCCAAGCTGCATTGCACCACGGCTCATCAGGAACCTGCTGGACCTGCCCACCTCTCGCCTGGACTTCCATGTGTGCCCAGCAGGTAGGCAGCAATACGTGGCTGCTCAGGCCATTTCAGTGAGGAGCTGCTCTTTTCTTGGAAGGTTGAGTTATGGTCTCATGGGAGTCTTGGAAAACCCATGAGATCTCTCTTCAGAGGTTAAGTGTGGGAATCCCTCAGTCTTCCCATGTAATACCTGTTGACAGGTCACTTTTTTGGGCTGAGTGTCTGCAAGATATTCCCTGCTGTTTTTAACTGCTTCCTATCCCTTTGGCCCACAGGGAAGCCAGCCCTCCCTTCTGGTAGCCTGAGGCATGGGGATCTCTCTTCCCTTGGGTGGGTGGTGGTGTAGCATTGCCTTGCTGCTCTGGGTGGCTCTTCCCACAGGTTGAGACCCTGGCTGATGTGGGACCTGCAGGTTGACTTCTTGCCAGCTCTTCCTGCCCAAGGAAAGGGAGGATCCAACCTTAGGGCTGTTATCCTCTTCTTTCTGCCAGCAGATGTGAGGCTGACACACAGCTGAAGAGGCTGCTGGGGAAAGGGCATTTCTCCCACAGGGAATGTTCAGAGAGGACAACTCCCTCCTTCCTCCTCACTCCTCCAGTGCTCCCTTTTCCCAGTGTTTAGAGTTCTCCTTTTGCCAACTGCAGGACTGAAAAATTAGTTGGTTTACTTGTTTGAAGGGTAATGATAGAGGTAGTGAAAAATCTCTGGTTTGCTGAAGGATGGCTCTGGAAATTTTGGCTGCTGGGCTTCTCAGCTGAGTGACTTGGCCATATATCCTGTCCTGCTGAGCCCTCTGCAGGGTCCCCCTCACACTGCATGGGGGACCTGCTTCCAAGCTTTTACTGCAACTGGGAGTTTTCACTGGGGGCAAAAACTCCATTTTCCCCGATAGTTTTGCCTGCTGTGAGGGAAGGAAAATAATCCACGATCCCCAAGCCATTTCTCTTTTGTTTGCTGCCTGTATTTTCTTCCGATCCTCCAGGAGAGTATGCTGCCTGCAAAGGAAACACGGCTTTGCAGGATCCAGGTCTGCCTGGGAATTACTGTGCCACCAGGCAGAGTATGCCCAGCCAGCCTGGGCCCTGGGATAACTGGAACATGCTCTGGATGCAGTTCCAAACATGCCTTCTGCTAAAAATATTACTTTATTTCTATCGTAGGGACAAGCAGCTCCTAAAAGCCTTTTTATGATGCCTCCTCATGTTTCCATGGCAGTGTGGGCATCTGCCTAGAGCAGCATGGTGGGCAGGTAAAGCTTGGCACCCGCCTCAGCCACACTGGCATGCAGGGCCTGTGGCTGCCAAGCCAGGTCTGGGTGTGTGTGTTGGGTCAGCCTCTGCTGGGAGCTCACCTGGCTGTCCTTGCTTTGGCCATGCTGCAGCTCTGCACAGCCGGCTCTGCCCCCAGTGCTCTGTCCCAGCATCACCTCTCTGCTGCTTTCCTGGCACTGGCTGCTTTGTGCTGTCCTGCCTCTGAGCAGGCTGCCACCAGCAAAAGGAGGTTCAGCCCATTTTCCTCCCACTCTGCCAGCATACACCCACTCCTCTTGCTTCCCCAGCCGTGGTGCTCACTTACAGGAGCCGAATATAAGCCTGTGTAGCACTCAAACCCTGCAGAAAACCTATCTGGCAAGATAAAGTGGTTATTTTTCTGCCATACTCTGTTAGGGAGGGGTTGGGACAGTGTGGCAGTGGGGAAGTGGGTGGGTAATGTCTGTGAGCCAGCTAAGGCTGCTGTGGTACAACACAAGGTGCTGCTCTTGCCATGCAAGGTGTCTTCAGCTGTGATATCTCGCTTGTTCCCTACCAGAAAGCTGCAGGAGATCCATGCCAAAGTGTGATGCTGTATAATTAGCCTTGCTCTCCAGAATCCATAAACACTGAACCTGACAAGCACCAGCACAGCAGCAAACGTGTGGGATCTGAGGTAGAAAGTCTGTGCAAGAGGGAGAAGGGGCTGACATCTCTCTCTTCCTATTTCCTCTTGGCTTGCAGACAAGCTGGCAGGAGGGGATCCCAGTGCAATCCATGCTCAGGAGCACCTTGTGTCTAGAACTGCCCCCCAGGACCAGAGGGAGAGTGGACGAATCCACATGATCCGGGAGGCAATGGAGAAGGTGCTGAGCCTTTTGGTGTGGGGAGAAAGGGCCAGGATGGGGCACCTCATTCAGACTGGAGGAGGGGAGGAGGCAGCTGAATGGGGGAAGAGGGAGAGTGGTGTGGTGACAGAGAAGGAGATGCTTGCTTGGGGGCTGTGTAATTTGGAGAATGTTGTGGGTCGAGGTGCTGTGGAGTTGTGGACCAGCAGATATGGACATTTCCCTGAGTCTGTGATGAGCTCAGATAAAATAAATGGCAAACAGGGATTTGTGGGGGAGGCAGTGGGACATGCCATACTCAGAAGTGACCTCCCTGCTCTCACATTTCTCATGTTCAAGGTGGCAACAGCTCTGCTCAGAGCAGAAAGGTGAGGCTGTGGGTGACAGCGATGACAAAGGGGATGTGAAGATGAGCTGTGGCTGAGAGAGGGGTCCAGTGAGCCCTTGGGTTGGACTGGCAGTGATGGAGTGGGTGACCCTGCTCTTTAATTCTCCCCTTTTCTATTGGCACTGTCCATAAATCTCACTTTTAATGGAATTAGTATTGGAAAAGCAATGATATTGCACAGTATGGGGTTTGATTTAATGTAACTGTCAGGGGCTGGGGTTATTTTTTCTCCATTTAAATCAGTAAATCTATTCAATTTCCTTTCCAGAATAAACACTGCCTGCTAGAGCTGGGAGTTGAGGGTGTGAGGGATCTAATTAAAAGTGAAATATACCCCATTGTTATCCATGTCGAGGTCACTGAGAAGAACGTCAGAGGGCTCAGGTGAGGAAAGACGGTGTGGCATGGATGGAGGGTGTCACGGGAGGAGAGGGAAGCCCTTGTCTCTGTTCAGAGACAAGGATCAGGCGAGAGCACTGGATGTGTGTGCTGGGGTTGGTGCTGTGAGTGGAATAATTTGCTTTCTGTACGTGTGAGCGCATTGCTGGGTGGTTTTGCCACCCCACCTCTCTGTGCCGAGGGTAGCATTTGTCCCTGTGTTTTCCGTAGGAGCTTGCTGGGGAAGGCGGGCCAGCGGGACTCGGAGGTGCTGAAGGTGTGCCGCGGTGTGGAGCGGGCTCTCCACGCCCTGCCGTGCTCCTGGGCCCGAGTGGAGCCCCATGCCTGGAGCCACGCCGAGGAGCTGCCCAAGGTGGTTCGTGGATGCATCTTCCAGGAGCAAACCCGCCCGCTGTGGATTGAGGAGGGCGATGACTGAGCGGGAGTGGTGGGGGGGTAGCCACCTACTGTCCCCAAGAGCTGCTCTCACAGGTCCCTGCCTTCCCAAGCCCCTCCAGGTAGAGTGTTCTTCCTCTCTGAGGAGAGGCTGGTAGCTAAGGCCCCCCAGGGTAGCCTTTCTTGTCCCCTTGATGGCCAGCAAGAGCCAGGAAGTAACAGAGAGTGGCTCCCCTGTCTGAGCTTTCTGTATTCCATTGGAAAGACGTCTTGCACCATCGTGGTGGAGACCACCCCTGTGGGCTGTTCCCTGGCACCGTGGGCTGCCCTTGTACGGTCAGATTGACAGACAGGGAACGTAGGGAGGGAACTGTGTGGGGTCAGGCTGCCTAGGAGCATTTCTCACACACATTGGAGGCTCTTCTCCCGTCACCACCATCTCCCCTGCCCGGTGGCACTGTGTGCTCCGGCTCCTCTCTTCCCATCTACCTCACCTCTGGCCCCAAGGCACAGGGCACATGGCTCATCCTCCTGTGACCCACTGCGGCTGGAGTGACACTAAGGTTGCAACAAACCCTCATTTCATAGGAGCTGTACTCTTTATTGCTTGTAAATTATTAATGGAGCCTTTCACTGGCAAACTGCCCGTAAAGGAGAATTAAATACCATTCATAATGGGAATAGGTGGCAGGCTGTGGGCTTGTGTGTTACTGGGAAGGCATGGGTGATGCACAGTGGGGTCTTTTGCTCCTCCTTGAGGTGACACCCAACCGCCCAGCCCTCCAGGGGAAGGAGGGAGCACTGCCGTTGCTGTTGTAGGGCAGCAAGAAGTGTGGGGAGGGGACAGGCTAAGTGTGCCACAGACTCTGTCCCCTCCCTTTTCTACCTGGCCTCTGGATTTCATCCCCTTGCCTCTCCCCACCACTGATGTTGGTCAGGGCGCTTTAGGAAAGTAAGGGCAAAACTCACTTGAGTTTTGAATTGTGTCTGGCTGGGTCCCTAGAGCTTTGCATCCCTCCGTGCCCTGGTTAGTGTGAAGTGACAAGCCAGCTACTTCACCCTCCTGGGGGACAGCAAGGAGACTAAGCCCAGCCATGCTGATAGGAGAAAGGGGGACAGTGCCCCTGCAAGGTGGGGTTCTCACCCTCACACAGGGCCAAGAGTGGGTTCAGACTCTGGCAGGGGGAGGGTGGAGGCTTTGGGTAGCCACAGCAGCGCTCACTTAGGGTGTGTGGTCCTGGATCCTGTTATGCAGCCACCGTTGGTTGTATCCACCCACAGGAAAGGGGTGCCAGGATACCCAGGCTGTGGAGAGGTGGTGATTGGGGTGATAGGTGGTCTTTCCTGAGGCATGCCAGAGGAAAATGAAGTCTGTGGCGCTGGGAGGCTTGGGGCTCTTGGGATATGAAGTCAGGCAGCGTCTGCTGATTCTGGGGTCAGTGGGAGAAGATGGGCAGCCAGTGCCAGTCAGCTCCTCTGCCTGTCCTCCTTGCCCCTGTGGTCTGGCACTGCTGGTGCCACGCATGCACTGGTGAAGCTCTGAGCAAAGATTAACTTGCTGATCTTCACGAGTCCCCTGTGAGGTGTTATTTCAGGCTCTAAACCAGTTGCCAGTGTCTTTTATGAGGACGAGAGTGAAGGGGGGAGGAAAGAGAATGAAGATTTTAACTTGCAGTCACTAAAATGTAGAGCAAAGTCCTCTGCCCTGGAGCCATGCAGCTCTTCTCTCAGGGAAGGGGGAAGCTGGCATACACAGGGCTCCAGATGAAAGCTCCCAAGTGGCATCCACTCCAGGGGATGCAGCTGAGCATCCCGGCACAGGCAGTCCCCTGAGAGGGTGCTTGCCCTGCAGGCAAACAAAGTGGGATTCTTGTTGAGCTGATGAGAAGACAAGTCCCAAAACAAGTTCCCATTCACCCTCTCATGGATCTGGAGATTTGAATTTGCATCTTTGCTGGGGAAAAGTAGCACTTGAGTATTCAGGGAAAACACTGAGTGTGAGGCACTGTGACTCAGGGCGTGAAACTTCCTCGTGTCCCTGCTGGCACTGGGAACCAGCCCCAGCCCTGTGGCCTAGGCTGAAGAGGGTTAAAAGCAGGCCCTCCACCTTGGGTAGTCAGGCTGTGCTCCCAGCTTAGCCCTTGCTGCCCTCCCAAAGAATCACATCCCCCAGCACTTCCCTGGGCTGTCCAACCACAGGGAAAGGGAGGCAGAGGAAGGTTGCTGGGAGGCAGGTTGGCACTGCCCAGCTAGCCAAGCAGCAGCAGCACTGCCTCCCCTGCTCCCAGGCTTCTTCCAGGCTCTCTCTTTATCCAGCTCAAAATCCAGCCTTAACTTGTTCTGGACGAGGGTGAGAAGTGAGGCAGAGGGCTCCAAGGCAAACATAAATGACCCTCTCTGCCCTGCACACCCCAGCCCACCTTCTTTTTACCTCCTGGGGGGGTGGCTGCCTGCTTGGAGGAATGAGTCACGGTTTAGGTAATAGGCACAATGCAATTAGCAGCCCTGGGCACCAATTACCTGCTGTAACAGCCTTGTGCAAACCCCTGTAAAGAGTCAGAGCAAGATTTCTCCCTCCAGGGAGGGGGTGGTTGAGGTGGCATATGTGTCACCCTGGGCAGTCACCAGCCTTGTCCACAGTGGCTCCCTGCCCCAGCAGAGTTTCCTGGCACCATGCTCTGTATGAGGTAGCTTTGAATTGTATTTGTAATGTCTTCTGGGGCCATCGCTAAGGAGCTTGTGCCTGTGCTTCACCTGTGCCTCCCAAATGATCTCCTAAGCCAGAGCTGGGAGGTGCAGCAGGATGCCTTGGAGCTATAGAAGCTTCCTTTACAGGTGCCTGAGGCTGCTGGCATGTGGCTGGAGCACTCAGGAAGGTTAATTTCTAGTTCAGGAGCATTAGCCAGCCATGTGAGCAATCCCAGTCACACCATGTTCACATCCCTGCAGTAATGTAAGGCCTGAAGGTGAGTGACTCCCTCCATGCCCCAAATCAGTGTAAGAAAGCATCAGTATTCAAAGGGATCTAAAAATAAAACCTGCAGGGACTCTCCAAAGGGATATGGGAGATGCTCTGGAGATGTTCTTGCTTCAGGGGAAGGCAGGAGTCTTTGAGACTTAGAGAAATACAGGGGAGGAGGGAAGAGAGGTGGATTCAGTGGTTTCTTACTTACAAAAGTAAAAAGTTGTAGCCAGGGACAAGGGCAGAGTGAGAGTGTGTCTGAGATGTGGAGAACCTGAGCACATAGGTTTTGCCCTGCAGGGAGGTCTTCCTTGTGTGCCTGGGAAGTGTCTGTGGCTGGACACACGGTGGGAGTGTGGAACAGAGGGACCCTGGCAGGCTGTCCTGCCCCTCTTTTCTAAGGCCCCATGATCTGACACGTGCATGGGGCGGGGTGTCCTTTTCTACATGGAGCCATTCCACACCCCCGCCAATTCTCCTGGGCCCAAACTTATTACTTTTTATTTTTATTTTTTTGCTATGCTGAGGTTGGATGCCCACAGCTCGTAGCTCCCTGAGGAGGCGCTCTGATTTCGGCAGCTTATGTAGAGCACTGCCATCCTGCTGTCCCCACGCCTGCTGCACAGGGAAGCTGAGATGGGGCTATGGGTATCATCCCCCCCCATCCTGGGCTGGTTGTCTCTCTGCATCCCCCTAGCTGCTCTGCAAAGTGGCCTACAGGTGGTGTGAAGGGGACTGCATGGTCACCTGCCCCATACCTAACCAGCAAAAGCATGCAGCCATCTGTGGTGCTGACCCCAGAATTTCCCTTCCATGGTGGTCTTTGTCCTTGGGAGGGGCTCTCACACCTTTTGAGGCTGTCTGATACCCCTATCCCTTGCTGGCAACCAGAGGGCTGGAAGTGAAGGTGGCTCAGTGGTGAGGGTGGGGGGTGAGGAAGGAGCTGGAGGTGCCACTTTGCTGCTGTGCCTGCAGGTCTCTGAGGTTTTCCAAAGAGAGAGGACATCCCTTTTCCTTGCCCAGGGGAAGCTACATCTTGGACAGCACGAAAGCCACAAGGGACAAGTTGCTGAGCTCAGCCCTGCTGCAGGAGGCGAGGACCTGGGTGGGATATAAAGTCAGCAGTGACACTGCACACCCCAGCCCCCCGTGCTCCCCCAGAAACGTTCAAGGCCAGGTTTGATGAGGTTCTGAGCAGCCTGGTCTAGTGGAAGCTGTCCCTGCCCGTGGCAGTGGGCTTGGAACTGGATTATCTTCAAAGTTCCTTACAACCCAAGCCATTCTGTGATTCTACAGCTGAAAGGGAGGCAGTAGGCCCTTCCTCATGCTTGTGGTTGCTGGTGTACCTCTCCCTGTGGGTGTCACCGGTTCTGCAGCCACCTGGGCCGCAGGATGTCCTTGGACATCCTGGTGGGGATGTGAGATGGGGCAGAGGGTGGGGGTTCCAGGGCTGGAGGCCGAGGAAAAGGGACCTTCCGGAGCAGCGTCGTGGTTTAGGAGCTGGGTGTCAGAAGTGGGGTTCACACCCCAGCTTGAGACTCTGGGGTGTGGCGGTAGGAGGGACAGCAGGGAACACACGATCCTGCTTTGGGAAGCAAGTTGGGACTAAAAGGCAGGGACAGCAATTCAGACCCGTGTCCATAGGAAAAGTTTGGGGCTGAGGGAATTCCTGGGGAAAAATCGTTCCCAGCAAGAACAACAGAGGACCCAGCACCTTAACTTCACCAGAACCCACATCAGTGTCACCGTGCCCTCCTCTCTCAAGAGCACCGGGACGAGCAGGGCTGCAGGGATCGGTCTGAACTGTCGCAGACAAGCGGGAAAATCACTCAAGCAACAGGTCTGTCCTCCGATACCTGCCCTTCGTCACCCCGGCGGTGTTGCGGAGCGGGGATGCCCTGCGGAGACAAAGGCACTGTGGGAGGCAGGGCTCCCCCGTTCCCCCGCTCCCTGCCCGGGCTGCCGCCCCGCCCTGTGCCCGGAGGCGGGACCGGGGCTGGCCGGGAGCGGCGG